ACCGAAAAAAAAAAAAAAACCCAGAAAAAACACGGCGCATGACCGAAAAAGAAAAAAAAAGTGCGGCAAGTGACCCCCCCTTCAAAAAAAAAAAAAGAAAAAAGAACGGCCACCTGCCTGACTGAACTGCAGTTCCAAACTCCGCGGTGCGACTTTTCTGCAAAGCGGTGTTTCCACTGCATAGTAAACTCCCCACGGGACTGGAATTTAAAAATGCAGTTTGAAATGCATGTAGATACTCAAACCATGACCGCGCCCTTTTTTTTTCTCTATTTTTTTTAAAGTTGAAAGCCCCTGTGTAAAGCCTCCATCCCGGCAGTGGTAAGAGAATCGTCGGAATTGAGGTCATTGTGGTCTTGCAAATTAAAAGGGGGGAGGTCGAATTAGGGGTAGGTGGGAAGTAGGGGGGTTCACTTAGAAGAGGGACCAGCGGTTTAGAGAGGTAAGTCTAACCAGAAGGGTGGGGTGGCATGACATTGGCCGGTGCTGGAGCATTCGCTCTGTGACCAGGGGGAGCTTGAGGCCACTGAAGTTATGCCGAGGGTGGAAGGCATAACCATCTCGCCTGACGTTGCTGTTGCTGGGGCGGTGACCCTGTAACCTTTTGAGGGGCCATGCAGTTAAGAGAGGTGTCGAGGGGGGAAGACACTCTCTGTCCGTCAGAATCAGTTAGATAGGTACTGGGGGTTTGCCGTGTAACCCTAATACGGGGGTATGAGATCTGACGAGTTCTGGTACGAGGACTGAAAGCTGGATCGGCGTGTCCTTCATCGGCGGTGAAGGTAAGAGTTGGAGTGTTAGTGGTTTCCTCCTCCTGTTTTTTCAAATGGAGAGTGAAATCGGAAGCATGGCTTGGAAGAAATTTTGGGTGGGCTCATGCAGGAGGGGAAGGGTGGCTCAGGGTGGTAAGTCTATTAGAAGGACGGGGTGGGGCGACAGTGGCCGGTGCTGGTGCAGTGGCTCTGTGACCATGGGAGGAGCTTGAGGCCATTGGAGCTTGCCGAGGGTGGAAGGCATAACCACCTCTTTCAACGTAGCTGAATCTGGGGCAGTGACCCTGTAACCCGGTAGGGGGTTTGGCAGCTAAGGAAGTGTCGAGGGAGGAAGACGCTTCCTGTCCGTCAGAAAACAGTCAGTTCGGTGCTGGGGCAGCTTGTGTTGCCTTGTAACCCTAGCAAGGGGGGTGTGAGAACTGGCGACTTCCGGTACGAGGACTGAAAGCTTGAGTGACGGTTTCTCACCTGTAGTGTGGGTTTGGTTTGGATTGATGGTGGTTTAATTCTGATTTTCGTTTCTCTAACTTTCCTTTTTAATTTTTTGAAAAAAGAATAAGGAGAGTGGGAGAAGATGGGGGGTTATCACGCGTCCTACCAGTGAGGGGGCTAGCTGGTAAGATGGGAGTATGGTATAGCAGCAGCAGAGATGGTGGCTCCGCTGCAGTCAGTCTTGCCGGAGGGAGGTAAAGTGGATTGATGGAGGATTCTTCTGAGTCGTTTCTGCATCATGATGCTGTGATAGACAGGTCTGAAGTAGCCCCAATTCTCTGAGCCAACACCGGGTAATGGCCCCGCTACTTTAATTTTCAAAATTCTATCCTTAGGCCAATTGGATTTTTCTAGTAGGTTCCTAGTCTCATTTTCATGAAATTTCCTGATGAGTTTTCTGAATGTACTCGTTATGGGACGCTGGGCCCGGTTCCCAGTGCGTGCCATTTTGTGAGGATATGGTTGTATCTATGGGATGCTGGACCCGGTTTCCAGCAGGTGTTGCTGCCCACCAATAGATGGAGCTTTGTTTAAAAAAAAAAAAGAGGTCATATCTATTGGGCTGCTCCATCTATTGGTGGGAAGTGGCACCTGCTGAAAACTGGGTCCAGCATCCCATTTAAAATATCATGGATCACGGGGATTGTTGTCTGTTGTTTCTGTGGCTGGGATCATTTCTGTTTACTACCTGGGGCTCTGATTGTCCCATGGAGCTGCTAGTAACACCCAACCCATCTAGGAGCCCCTTCTATTTATGAACCCAGCCCTGTACCGCAGCCCCCCTACTAAGTGTTTCCCTGTCCGGCCCTTGGCACCCTTTAAGCCCTAAACCCTCATTAAACCCTTACATGACATTCATATTCTTTAGAGCATGACGATCTACCATGGGTGGAACGTGTTGCGCACCCTACTTTTCTCAAAAAAAAACTCTCTCTGATGCCGATACTCCACTTGAGAATGCAGGTGAAGAAGCCCGCGACCAGCTAAAACCATTCCCCCCCTCTCTGTGTCTTCTTTTTTCGGAACTCAGGATGCTGAGACTGGCTTGACCTGATGCTATTCTTTGCCGGAAGTCAGAATGGACCCCACATGTGCTCCTTGTGTGCTATGAGAAGACCAGGTTCATATGAACTTGGAGTAGATGGAGCAGGAATTATGGGTAGTGCCTCCTGGGCTCATACTGAAGCTTGCATTCTGGAAGATGCCTCACAAACGAAAACAGGGCGACTTTGCTGGATTCAACGGAGCGCTTCACATTGGACGTCTGATCTGCAACTTCTCCATTTCTGACCGTGCGTCTTTGAAAAGAGAGGTGGAGATATACCTCTCTCCTGAGCTTGGTAGGATTGCCACAATGAGCTTCCCAGCCATCTCTGGACGCTTTGCGACTTGAAGAGCAGCAACGACGGCTGCACCCGAAGAGATTCCTACGAGTATTCCTTCTTTCAGTGCCAAAGTCTGCCCCATCCTTATGGCATCATCGCTGTGCACGAGGATCACTTCATCAACAACTGACATATCCAGTACCTTGGGAACGAACCCAGCTCCGATTCCCTGGATTTTGTGTGGACCTGCTTTTCCTCCTGACAACACAGGACTTTCCTCGGGCTCGACGGCGTATATCTTTATGTTTGGATTCTCTTTCTTCAAGTACTTGCCGACTCCCGTGATTGTCCCCCCGGTCCCAACTCCGATGACCACACCATCCACAGTTCCCGCCGTGTCTCGCCATATCTCGGGCCCTGTTGTCATGTAATGGGCCTCCCAATTTGAGGGGTTCTCAAACTGCTGCAACATGTAGGCTTCTGGCATGGTCTGCACCAGTTGCTGCGCTTTGGCCACGGATCCCGGTATTCCCTTCATTGGATCAGTCAGAACGATCTCGGCACCAAAGGATCGCAGAAGGCACCGCCTCTCAAAACTCATGGATACTGGCATTGTGAGTATCAGCCTGTAGTTCTTGGCAGCTGCTGCAAACGCCAATGCGATTCCAGTATTGCCGCTTGTCGGCTCAACGAGGACAGTTTTGCCAGGCTTGATCAGGCCTTGTTTCTCTGCATCTGCAATCATGCTGGAGCACAAAGTAGCATGTCACATCATATGGTTCACTACACAAGGGGGCAGAAAAATAAAAAAAGAAAACTGCTCAGGAGTCACACTTTGAGTTCGGAATGAGCAAAAACATCAGTCTGTTGGCAAGTGTGTCGCGGCTGAGTTTGGAAAGGCAAAAGAAACATGGGGGAAGGCAAAAAAAACATGGGGAAAGGCAAAAAAAACATGGGGCTATAACGCCCTCCCGGAGGCTGCAATCTCACACGTTCTGTTCTTCTGTTTTCAGCTGCTTTCATGACCATAGGGTTGTTGTGTCTTTTTTTTCGTTTTTTTTTTTTTTTCAGGCTATGACACCCTCCCGGAGGGCACAGTCTCAGACGTTCTACAGATACTGTATCCAGGTGCTTTCATGACCACAGTGTTGTTGCTTTTTTTTTTTTTTTGGGCCGGGGGGTGGAGGGGTTCTTTAACGACCATTGCAGAACGGCTGGGAGGATTACCATTGTGGAACGGCTAGGAGGATAACTTTGTACGTTCTCACGACCCGGATGATCTGAGGAAGGAGGAAGTAGGTTGGTGACCATCTGACGATTTCGTAGTATTCAGAGTTGAGGCTGAGAGTGAGATAGCATCATTGCCTGAGTGGACAAGACAGAAGGGCGATGCTGGTTGCACATGTGCAACCTTCTTTTTGATCTGGCACATTATATCCTCCTCGAGAGTAAAGTCTCACATTTTGTGCTAAGTGTATTGAGTGTTCCTTTTTTCTTGGGTTTTTTTTTTGTTTTTTTTTTTTCCCGGGGGGGTGCTTCTTTTTTTTGTTTTTGTTTTCATTTTGTGGCCAGGCCACGCAGAGATGTCCAGGCCACCCCCGTGGCTGGGCCGCGGCCGAGATGTCTAGGCCACGCCCGTGGATGGGCCATGGTAGACATGTCTAGGCCATGCCCATGGCTGGGCCACGGCCAAGATGTCTAGGCCATGCCTGTGGCTGGCCCACGGCCAAGATGTCTAGGCCACGCCTGTGGCTGGGCCACGGCTGAAGATGTCTAGGCCACACCTGTGGCTGGGCCACGACCAAGATGTCTAGGCCACGCCGGAGACGTCTAGGCCTCACATGGGAAAAAAAATAAAATAAAAAAAATGACGCGCTATGGTCGTGAAAGCAGGTGGACACAAAATCTGGAGAAGGTGTGAGAGTGCACCGTCCTTGAGGGCATTATTGCCCTGCGGTCATCATGGCCGTGGAAAAAAAAAAGCAACCATGAAACCAAAAAACAAAAAACAAGAGAAACAACGCTATGGTCGTGAAAGCAGCTGGATACAGAAGAACAGAATCTGGAGATGCAGCGTGATTTTTCTCACGCTTCGTAGTGTCACACAACACAGTTTCTTTGGGTCGCACGGGCCGCATCTGAACCAGCCACCCAACCGACTAGTGAGTACCCACCTGGGTCCACCAAATTTATGACGTATCTCATGGGACAGTGTTATGTGAGACCGACTTTTACATTTCATAATGTCATGAGAGAAGGTTAACATATGTCTCCATTTTCATATCATTTTCAGCAGCTCACGCGAGCGTTAGGTACTTCGATGGGCGCACGAGAAACCGCTTTCAAAAGTTTTAGCCACTTCAGGTCATTTTAGACGTTTCAGATCTCCACCTGAAATTCTTGAAATGGCATAAATTGGCTAAAGCCTTTGAAAGCGGTTTCAGGTCCCCCCATCCAAGCATTTGGATGAGCAGACCTGGAGCCGCTTTCAGAAGCTTCGACCACTTCAGGTCATTTTAGAGGTTTCATGTCTCCCTATCTGAAACTCATGAGATTACAAGTTCCTGAATATATGCAACCGATTTCAGATGCCCTCATCTAACCATTTGGGTGGGGGGACCTGAAACCGCTATCAGAAGCTTCAACCAGTTCAAATCATTTCAGAGGTTTCATGTCACCCCTCCTGAAACTCGTGAAATCACCTGAAGTGGCAGAAAATATGAAAGCAGTTTTAGATGCTATCATCCAACCATTTGGAATGAGTGACATGAAACCACTTTCAGAAGCTTCAGCCACTTCAGGTTATTTCAAAGGTTTCAGGTCTCGTCACTTAAAACTCATGAAATAACATGAAGTGGTTGAAACTTTTGAAAACGGTTTTAGGCTGCCTCATTTAACCATTTGGATGAGAGGACCTGAAACCGCTTTCAGAAACTTTAGCAACTCCAGGTCATTTTAGAGTTTCAAGTCTCCCCACTTGAAACTCTTGAGATGATTTGAAACGGCACACAACAACGTTGAACCAAAAGAAAAACAGGCAAAAAAAAAAAGAAAAAGAAAAAAAAAGACCCCCAAACCACCTGAAACTTCATAAATGGCCTGAAGTGTTTTCAGGTCAATTGAGTGATTTTAAACCTCTGCTAACAGACTTCATAATCCTTCATTCCGAAATTTCACGACGTCGTTAACAACTTGTGAATGTCATAGGAAAATAGGGGAATAGGGGAAGGCAGGGGGTGAGGTCATTTAGGAGGTGGAAGGAGAGGTTAGGGGGAGGCTGGGGGAGAGATCTTACCTAAAGCCAATTCTATCCTTGACACTGCAACAGGGTAGAAAGGTCTCTATCTTTGCCACTATCCGTCCAGCACATCCTTGTCCGATGGTCTTCAAATATACAAGAGGTGTCGCGCTAATTAGGTCCACCACTGACTTGGAAATACGATTTTGTTCTTGCAATTTGGAATGACGTCTGTCACTTTTTGACTCTGCGGCATCCGCCATTCTTTCGTGATGATGACGATGACCACAATGAATGAAAATGATATGTATGATAATGACAATAATTTGATGGTGGCGATCACATCTGGATGATTTGATACATCCAATGGTCAGACTCGTTCCTCATCGATTGAAGTGGTTGTACACGATCACTTACATGCAAGCATGTGCTCGTGTGAAGATGTGCTAAGAAAGTGGAACTCTTTTAGCTGCCTACAGAAACCTCTCAAAACAAACAAATATATTTCAAGAGAGTATCTTTTTCAAGCTGTGTCTGTTCATCCAGCAACCAGCAGCTGCATGGAAACCTGCCATTGAACAAGTCATCAAGATGGGAGAAAAAAGATAAGTCGATTAATATCACATACAGGCAAACAAGTTTAAATAATGTAATAAAATTTCACGAATGAAAACACAAACATCAAGAAACGTTAAATGACATATAGATGACATTTTGCTCCGATTAGTGATTAATTTCAGTTGTATGCTGCGTAGCATGCCGAGCATATTCGACGCCCCACCGAGCGGCCGAACACGTTCAGACGCTCGACCGAGCAGGAACCGAACATGTTCGGCCGAGCGCAAATTAGGGGTCTGTCGTGCGCATCCTTGTATGTGTGTGGTATGTGTCGGACGTGTGTGTAGGGGGGGGTGTTTGTGTGTGGGGTGTGTGTGTTTGTGTGTGTGTATGTATGTTTAGGAGTGATAACTGCCATTTCGTCAAAATGGACATCTTTTATTTTTTAAACGAAATTGAAACCGAGTTTTTTGGCTGAAAACTCGTCAAAAGTGTTGTTCATGAGGGTCCAACGTTTGTAAAATGCTCGACCTCCTGGCTGTACATGGACCTAGCTTGAGACCAGGTACCTTTAGGCAGTCCTGCCTTAAGGTGCCTGGTCTCAAGATAGGTCCATGTACAGCCAGGGAATTCAGCGTTTTACACTCGGGAACAACAAATTTTGACGAGTTTTCAGCCAAAAAACTCGATTTCAATTTTGTTCAAAAAATAAAAAATATCAATTTTGACGAAATGGTCGTTTGATAAGCAATGCCCCCCGGACTCCCCCAACCCCTAAATATATATATATATGTACATTTATATGATAGGCTACCAGTCGGGCCGTTCGGGTCCCGGGTGGCCAGCCCGTGCAAGGACCAGAGAAGTTCCCARCAAAAAAAAAAAAAAAAAAAACCCTCCAAAAAATCCGAAAAGCAAACTATGTTATGTAGAAAATAAGCTGAACAACTTTTGCCTTAAGGTCACGTCGAAATTCTTTACCAAATTTGAAATAAAAAATAAAATAAACAATTTTTTTTATTTTTTTTTTTTAGGTTTCTTGGCCCGGTCGGGCAAGTGACCCTGGGCCACTCTAGTAGCCTAGTATATCTATCTATCTATCTATCTATCTATATATATATATATATATACATATATACAGGGTTACCGGTGTTCGGGACAGGTCGAACGCCCGAACCCGAACGCCCGGACGTACGGGACCCCTTCGGGGGCGTTCGACCGTTCGAATCGAACGCGGACCGGAAAAAAAAATTCAAACACCCGCCAGCACCTTTTCGACACGGCCATCTTTGCCGATTTTTAATTCTTTTTTGGCATTGACAAATGCTCTGAACATTTACAAATATGTAGTTTACATAATTAATAACTCCTTAAAAAAAAAATTAAAAAATAATAAAATTATTTAGGACCCGAAATAAAGTGAAAACAAAAAGCTAAAAGTGAAAAAAAACAAAATAATAAGTGGGCAAGCACGTTTTGACACCCCCATCTTTGAAGCTTTTTAATGTTTTGTTGGATTAGCAGAATGACTTCAAAACTTATAGGCGTGTAGGTTACATCATAGAGAACTCATAAAAAAAAATTCAGAAAAAAAAACTTATTGTTATGCCCCGAAATAGTTTTTGGCGGGGGCCGAACCTGGAGGTGTTCGCCCCCCGAACCCCGAACGCCCGAACGTTCGGGGGCCAGCCCGGGGGCCCCCGAACGTTCGGTCAGGTAACCCTGTATATATATATATATACACAGAGAGAGAGAGAGAGAGAGAGAGAGAGAGAGAGAGAGAGAGAGTCTACTTTGATTTTGGTTAAGGTAGATTATCATTTACAGTGTAATCAGTGAGGGGATTCTGCAGACTGTTGAGGGTTCAGCCTCCTGATGCTGTCTCTTATACACATCTAGATGTGTATAAGAGACAGAGATTATCATTTACAGTGTAATCAGTGAGGGGATTCTGCAGACTGTTGAGGGTTCAGCCTCCTGATGAGTCGGTGAAACTCTGACGAAACAGTTTGTCACAGCCCCTCGTTTGTTGTCCTCTTCTCTCTCTCTGCCTACGATTTACCGGGCAATTCTGTTTGCTGTCTCTTATACACATCTAGATGTGTATAAGAGACAGGGCCAGGACAACAAACGAGGGGCTGTGACAAACTGTTTCGTCGGAGTTTCACCGACTCATCAGGAGGCTGAACCCTCAACAATCTGCAGAATCCCCTCACTGATTACACTGTAAATGATAATCTACCTTAACCAAAATCAAAGTAGACTATCACTCACCCAACCGTAGGCAGAGAGAGAGAAGAGGACAACAAACGAGGGGTTGTGACAAACTGTTTCGTCGGAGTTTCACCGACTCATATATATTTGTCTCTAGATGTCCGATCATAGGTGTTTCCCGGAGACGTTTCCGTCGGACATCTTCTGAGGGAGTTATCTGGAATCCCGGACAACTTGTTTTCTCCAAAATAAAAAGTGAAAAAATAAAATAAAATACATGGGAAGGAGCTGCGCTAGATGAGGTGACCCCATAAAAAAATTCAGCTAATTTGGAGCAAAAAAAATAAAATGCAAAACATGGGGAAAGGGGGTTTTGGGGGACTAGGTTGGGGTGCGTGATTGAAATCGACCCCCATAAGATAGACCTGTTTGATTGGAATTGACACATACATCTTTGGCGATTTTTATGTTTTTTCTATGGGCTCAAATTACCCAAAAAGTTTGTGGCATATACCTTATGTGGGGGGGAACCTACAAAAAAAAGGTCAATTTTTTTTTTTTTTTGTTCTTTGGACGGTCGGACATACTGTTTCTGGAGGACGTCTCCCAGTTGCTTGACCAGCCAAGTCGGACATCTAAAGCGGTCCCAGATGTCCGCCCTGATAAGGTAGATAAAAATAAAATAAAATACAAAACGTTCGGGCTCGGTAGATTTTGGGCCATGTTTGGGCTCGGTACCGAGCGTTTGGGTCTAGTCACCGAGCCCGAACGAGATGCTACGTAGGGTGTGTGTTTAAAACCCGTTATCAGAGCTTTAGAAGGCATAAAATACTCATGAGTTAAAATCATCTACAGATTCTTCACGCGATCCTCTGTAATGCACACCCATAACGTATCAATGTTATTTTTGTGTTTTCCCAGCCTGCGAGTTTGATGAGCAAACTTTTGCTCATGCGTGGATTTCTGACCCCTCCGTGCTTATTTCCTTCTTTCATTTTTTGAGTTTTCAAATTTTGGCACATTCTACATGTTTCATCTTTGGTGGGGTATTTGTGGGCTTTCGAGCATGACCTTTTTTATATTAATTAATCTTTTTGACTTATAATATAGTTCGTTTTTGTTACTCTTCAAATTTCAGCGTATTCTGCAGGTTTCGTTTTTGGTGAGGTATGTGTGGACTTTGTTGCATGTGTGCTTTGATATTAGTTAATCTTCGTGAACTTTGTTTTCAGTGAAATTTTGGATATGCCCTCATGTTTTGTTAATGTTATCATATTTGGATTAGATGAGATAGCAATCGGTGTAGGATTTTCACGTGCCTTAGCAAGCGAGCATAATTTTTTTGTTGAATTGTTTATTTCAAATTACTCTCAAGCTGCGTAGCATAGTGTGAACGTTCGGAGGCGAACATGAACATGTTCGTTCGAAAGCGAACGAGAGTCCAAAACCCTCCAAATGCGATGATTAAAAACATATACAAAAAAAAAGTCATGGAAATATCTAAAAAAACTATATGTCACGTAGAACAACAATCATAACGAGGTTTGAATTGGACTCATGTTCAAATTCTTAGCCAAATGTGAGTTAAAAATCAACAACCGAAAAACCATTCTTTTTTTTAAAAAAAAAAAAAATGTTCGCCCGAACACCATTGTGAGTTGTTTGCGTGAATGCGAAGCGGCGCGAACACGTTCGCCGTTCTGCACAAATCTCAGGAATTACGCGCACTTTCATGGACAGTTTGCATGTAATTGTTCTTGCACCTTCTCGCTCACGCATTTGCGTGCAATTTATTTTTATCACTTTTTTTCCTCCTTCTTCGCGTTTTTTTCAATGACCGCAACTTCTCTCCCTGTTCTGTCTCCCAGATCCTTCTTGATCCCACCGAGTCTTACTCCTTGTCACAACAATCTTTCATTACTTACGTTCCCGCTCTTACTTCATCCCTTACACAATCTTCGTAAGCGGACGTGGCTGTAGAGATCGCATGGTTGTGTGCGGATTGATTCATCACACCGCTGTTCAACGAATTACGGACCTCTTTTCTGGCAACACTATGGATTCCCCGATTCCTCTACTCTTCTTGCCTGTGCATGCGCCTTTTCCTCCTCATCTCCACAACTATAAATCTCGCAAGTGCGTTCCCGTCGCTCTCGCTTACACTACCAGTAAGCTTCGCTAGAGTAGTGGTTAATCGATGATACTCTGCAACTCGGAAAGTCTCGATGGGTTGATCATGACTTTGGGGGATCGAGTATCAAGTGGTTGTGACGGATTGTAGGACTTAAGCGGATCAGTGCAGAAATTGG